TGCTTAAATACACGATAAATTATGTTCTGGCTAATAATGAAGAAGAATTAGCATATCTCGAAAAATTTCAGCAAAAATCAATAATCGAAAAGTTAAAAAACATTTTTGACGGCAAATTTCAGTCCCTCAATTATGAAGCAGGTCTCAAAATACTCGAAAAAGCTAAAAACAATTTTAAACAGAATAATATTTTCTGGGGTATGGATTTCCAAGCCGAACACGAAAAATATTTGTGTCAGTATTTTGACAACCAACCACTTTTTATCCTCAACTATCCCCAAGAATTAAAGCCTTTTTATATGAAAAACAACCCGGATGGAAAAACTGTGGCTTGTTTCGACTTAATTTTTCCCGAAATTGGGGAACTAATTGGTGGGAGCACACGGGAAAACAATTACCAAATCTTAGTTGATAAGGCTTATCAAAAGAGTTTAGATGTGGATAATTTAAGTTGATATTTAGATTTACGAAGATACGGTTATGCTCCCAGTAGTGGATTTGGACTCGGACTAGAAAGATTAATAATGCTTTTGAGTGGAGGAAATAATATTCGGGACACAATCGCCTTTCCACGGACTTTTCGGCATTGTGACTTTTAATGGTTGAAAGAATTTTTCTGGATACGAACCGGAAAGAGAATTTGTTAATCGTCCAAAGCCCTAAAATTGGCAGAATTCTTGCTGTGAATTTTAGCACCTTATTGAATAATTACTATTGAAGGAAATAAAGCACTGTATCCGGTGTCGCTCATGGCGAAAAACCATGGAAGAAGCAGGGTGAAAAGTCCCCGAGAATTATTGTGTTGAATACACCATAAAAATTGAAGAGAAGTAATTTTGAGAATTGCCCTAGACTATAGTCATTTACTTAATTTGATATAAATACGAGGAAAAGCAATTTCCTCACTGGGGGGGCGTGACTGGCTTGTTTTTTTTACTTTCTAGTAAGAATTTTTTCGAAATTTTTCGCTAAAAAACCAACTCTAATTTCTGGATACGAATTGATAAGCGAATTTGCTAGCATTTTTATCTAACTTTTTTAGGCTTAAAATTGGGATAATAAATGATTTATAATATTAAATATGAACCAAAATATTCCTAATGAAAACCAAAAATCCTGGTCGGCCAACACGGCTCAAAAAATCCAAGCACTTAATCAGCAATTAGTCCAGACCCAAAACCGCAAGAAAAGACAAGAGCTAGAAACTGCCTTGCAAGTACAATGAGACTACTTGAAGCGAATTGAGAAAGCCGTGGAACAAAGACAGATTTACCAATCCCTTTCCCGAATGGAACGAGAAAATAAATGAGAAGCATTACGGATGAAATTAACTACTCGAGAGAACCAAACCGAGGATGAGCAAGAGCAAGTAGGTTATGATTTGTTTGCCCTCTTAGATCGTTTGCCAATTCAAAACCAAGTCGTAGCTAACTTGGGAAAATTCGGAACTATTCTTAATCCTGAGGCTTTGAGTAATCTCAAATCTTTCTCAGAAGGAGGATGGTACGATAGTGTTAACTGAGCCTTAGAACAATTAAGTAATAATGAAACTGCGGAAATTAACGAAGAAATTGTTTGGTCGGTTCTCCTTCCCGTGCTCTACGAAATTAAACAACTGGCGATTAACACTGCCCGAGAACTAGCTTTAGATATTGATTTTTAGCCGTGGAAATATCCAGAATTAACCAGATATTGGCTAATCTCCAGGAGTTTAGTCAATGCAAACAAATAGCTGTCGGAGGACGAGTTATTGCGGCTCGAGAAAGCAAAAAAATACTTTTTGCCGAAGTTAACGATGGTAGTATTCTCTGTCCCCTACAATTAATTTTCTCACGGGAATTATTGCCTCACTTACCACTAGGCAGCGTAGTCAAAGTCCAGGGTCAACTAGTCTTGGTTCCCCAACTTTCCCACCAGTTAGAATTAAGAGTTCAAGTTATTGACTGACTATCTCTGGCCCCTTCTCATCCAAGTTTTATGGCTAATCATCGTTGTAAATGATTACGCATTGAGAAGAAAAAATAATAATATTTAATAAGCATGAACGATAAAGATGTCAATCAGACCTGTCAAACAATCGCTCCGGGGCAAAAAAATTCCGAGGTTTTAAATACCACGGAAAAAGTTGAACATTTGCGAGAAAGGGAAGTTAGCAATATGCCTTTGTGAGCATTGCAAAACTATCTAGGCCATTCAAAAATAAGCACTATAGCCATTTACTGCAAGAAGCCGAGTTAGAAAGTTTGGCAATTACGGCGTTGTTTTGCCACGGCTAACATTTTAGGTCATAATCACTTTCCTACCATTCGACTGACGAAAATTTTTCGTTAGGACTAAAAAAGAGTTAAAGCCAAGCGGTTACAAAAAAATTTGGTCCCATTCCGACAGCAAAAATCTAGGTTAAGACTAAAGTAGTTCTAAAACTTTTGTTCTCGCAGGTTTGCGAACTAAAATATAAAATAATGCCAACTCGACCTATTTCTTGTCACAAGCGGGATTTGGTGGTACGCACTTATCGTCGCTTGGACCAGCCCAATCAGAAGAAAGCCATTACCCAGCTCGAGATTACCAAGATAATCGAGGCTTTTTTGACCGAGTTGCAAGCGAGTTTGTTGGCCGGAGAGGTTATTACTTTGAAGAACCATTTTAGTTTGGAAGTAGTTATATCTCCGGCTCACAAAAAGATTAACCCTAAGCAGCCGAGCCAGATGGTTCTCCGGCCGGAGTTACGCAAAGTCAAATTACGGCTTTCCAAGCTTTGAAAAAGAAACTTGAATCCTTTTTGGCAGTTCCGCCAAGAGTTAATCCAGGCAGCAAGTTTAGCCAAAATTGAAAAAGTTTACCGTTTGCTTTGCCAACAACCAGTTTACAAAAAAAAATAAAAAGGATCTAGATGCTATTTACCATAAACGTTTAGCGGCTTTGGGAAATAAAGAGGAATAAAATCT